TAGAACTGCAATTTTACATTGATTATTTCTATGTTTTGTAATTTAAGTCATGACAAAAACATAAAATATCCCTGGTTGCTACATTCCTGGTATGTTACTCCTTGGTTCTATTACTTATTTTGCTTTCTGTACTGTGCTTTGATTTTCAATCATCTCCTCCCCTTCCAGATTCCGTAATTTTGCATGTTTCACTTTGTCTTCCAATTTTCCCTCTCTTTTCCTATTATTTCTACTCACGTCTCTCCAATTTTTGGCATTGTTTTTCTTTCGCTTCAATTTCTTCAATAATCTGCCTCAAACCTGGTGAAGTGTCCAGTACCTTTGATTGTCATGGGGAAACATAATTAAAATGAAATAGATTAGGAAAAATATTTTGATGCTTATAATCTATTCGTGATTTTATTTAGGCACAGAAACTCGGCACTTGTTTGTTTACTGTACACTGCTAAATAAAATGTAAAAAATTGATTTCAAAGCTGCAACAAAAAATAAACTGTTTAGAAAAAAATTTCATAGAAAAGAAATTATAACTTTGCAAAAACAAACTTTTTTTTAAGTGTATATCTGAAGAACCTGAACAAACACAATGTTTCTTATTTTCTTCCAGAAGTTTATCTCAGTGTCCTGGTCACAGTAACTACACTTTACAGTAAAATCCTGTGAAGTGCTTTGAGCCATCTTCCCTACGTGAATGACACTACATCAAATACAAGGATTTTTTTAATAACAGAACCAAAATTCTAAAGAGGACTATGAGGCTAACCAATATTCCCAATGAATCAGAACTTTAATTCAACAGGAACTGACCATCAGGTTTTTAATCTTTAGAAATAATTGTCCTTCAGCTAAATGTAATAATATCAATTGTGAAACTGGAAGAAATGCAGGGTGCACAGATGCAAGACCTAATGGCCACATTACCCCTAACTAAGAGACAAGATAGAAATAATAATAATGATGATGATCTCTGCATTTGATGTAGGATTGTTTACATAATTTACATCTCAAAGTGTTTTACCAGGACTTACTATAAAGTGCAGTGACTGTATATTTTGTAGGTGAGCATGACAAGCCATTTGGCATATAGAATTGTCCCATAAACAGCCTGAATCACAAACTGAATGTGTAACAAGTACATTACATTCAAATCTTTGTAAACACCTGCTCTACCTGTTCTGCAGTGGTCAATATCTTAAACTATGCTCTTGGCTAACCGTTTTCCTCATCGATTACTGTGTCTTGCTGATAATTCATCCTCTGACTCTTTTTCCATCGACTCAAAGGTTCTCTTTTGCTGATGATTCCACTCTATATTCATTTGCTTTTTTCTGATCACACACCCAAGTGCACAAAGCTTTCACTCCTCTCATGGTGCAATGTTTCAATCACTGAACCTTGATCTGGAGGCCATTTGATGGGCAGTAATAATCAATTCCCCAAACACACTGTTTCTTCATGTTTCTTCTACGTCCAACCAAAAACTACCAATTCTTTCTTCAATAGCTCCTTCTTTCCTTCTTTCACTCAATTTTCTGGATCGCAGTATCTCTGACGTCAAGTGGAATTTTTATATCTCGTACATTGCTGAAGCAGTCTCGGTAAAGATCGGTTTCCACTTTTGTGTCTATCGTGTACTTCCCCTTGTTTGCAGTAAAATACTTTAGAAAGTTCAAATGTGTTTAAGATGAATCCCATATATGGAAAGAATCTACTTGTACCTCTCTTATATTCCTGGACAGAACGTCATCTGATAGATCATCTTTCCTTCCATCCTATCATATTTGTCTCAACCTTTCTCATCTGTATTATATTGATAATAATATGGTTCTCAGAATATTATTTTTAGGTTACTCCTATGCTTCAGATATATCATCTCATATTTTTATTGCATTTCTGCATCCTCATTGTGTTGAAAGCAAAACTCACATTTTGTTCCCAGAGGGTGACCAAAAAGACATGATAACTACCTTATTAAAAAAAAATCATAATTTCTTTAAGACTTATTAGACATTGTAATGGTATCACGACTTTTTGACCACCCTATATTTATTCTTTCTTAAAATATCAAGATTATACAATATCAAGCTTTCTAAAAAAAAGTCAATTGTTGTGGCTTCAACCAGCCTTCCTGGTAAAGAGATACTTTAATTGTCTTGAAATTGCCCTTTGCAACCCTAAACCTTTTGTTCTGCTGCTTTGGTGCATCCGAATGTATTGTTCTGCATTTACTTTTTCAATCCCATTTAAATCTCTGTATACCTCTATAGGGTCCCCTCTAAGGCATCTCCTTTCAAGTTCATGGAATAGATTGCCACATGATACGGTAAAAGATGATTAATATGAAGTATCTGAAGGGCAGAGAGTCATGACTTATTAGGAATGGGAGGAATATGGGGTCAGTGCATGAAAAAGAATGAGAAATAGGTCAACACACATTCTGAAAGTGAACATAAATGTTTGCATTAGATGGATGTGCTGAATGCCCTTGCATACTCCTACATTCAAACGTGTGTATATTCTTATAGCACTGTTTGTATACAAATCTTATATACAGATTATTATATAGTTCAACAATTAAGCCTACAGATGAATATCTTAAAATGGAAGACTGTAGTATGAATTTAATTAACTTACTTTGAGATATAATCTGTATGAATGTTGACATTTTCTAAAATTACATTATCTATCAAGCATTAGATTTCTCCAGTACCACACTAATTGCAGATTTTTGATGATTCCACAAAACATCCCAGCCAGATAATGCATCATAGCATCATGCTTTAAAGCTGCCGAAGTAGCTTGATTGCAAAAAAAAATTCTAGTTGTTGAATTCCTAGTTGCAGAGACACTATTGCCTACCACCTTTGGGTTTGTAACTTTTAAAAAAATATATATTTACCCATTTCAAGATATATCTGCTCCTGATTTTTTTTACACACAATGAAATGCAATTTACATTTATATAACCCAATTTACATCAAGAGAAAGTCTCAAAGCACTTAACAATGCTGGACTTTGCCACAGAAATGCCTTTCTGTGACTATCATGCACCATTTTCTTTCTGTGAGCAGGTGCAGGTTTACCCTTTACTCAGCCACCCAGCTGCTGATGGTCGTTTGGCCTGTATTACCTTACTGGATGGTTGCTCACTGCTTACTCCTTTTGAGTGATGTGGGAAGAATCTGGCTTCCTCCCAGTACCTCCCAGTGGTCCAGCTAGCATTGAATACTCATCCTGTAAAGAATTGTGTGTGAAAACTACCAGATTGGCATTCCATTCCAATTCATGGATAATAATGGATTTTTTATTTTGCTGTTACATTTTTCTGAAACGTTACCCTTTATATGACATCTTTATCTCTTTTTCCTATAAATTCATTTTGCTTTGCATATTACCTACCAGACATACTTAACATATCATGACCCAGTGTTTCAAAATTGCATAACAGCACAAACTGCCTCTAATTTCGATTGCACTGGAAAAATATGAAACTGGAAAAATGATCCTTTTCTTAATGTGGATGTGAGGGGAGGGGCAACGGATGGGACTATATGAGTGGAAACGAATTTAAACAACTATTTATACCTCACACTTATACAGAACTACGAGATGCAGCCATTTCAAAAAATATATCATGCTGTAAAACCTCATATATACTCTTGAGGGAGACAAAGTCTTAGTTTTTACCTTGAAGTAGCCTTGGAATCTGGTTGAAACCCCTTTCACCCACCTTCTAACCTTGATATATTGGTACCTACTGCATTTGCAACGATGCAGAACGCATTCCCTCATAAGGAATGAAAAATAAGACAACTTCAAATAATGGATATCGTTATTATTTGCTATTATTGTTGAATGGAACAGAAATCTTGAAGTTTGACAGACTGAGCTGTTTGTTTTGCCTGGCCAGTTCTTTCTTTAAATAATAAATAATAATAATAATAATTTAGCTATGCAATCCGACGATCAAATATTAATTACTTTCATAAACCCAGATTTTTTTTAAAAAAAAGGGGGGGTTAGACACTTGTCTGCCCCCTCCCCCAGGAAAAGCATCTTTGTCACAATAATGTCGCTTCTAAAAAGTGTGTGAAGTTCCCCATTCCTTAATTTTCGGATCCAATAACATTTCTTTGGCTTCTGTGGACTAAAATGTCAAAATGTGACAATGTGGTGTGATTTCTGCTTAATCTCACACTCATACACACACACACTCACACACACACACTCACACACACACACTCACACACATACACACTCATACACACACACACTCACACTCACACACACACATACACACACACACTCACACACACACACACTCACACACATACACACTCACACACACATAAACACACACACACACAAGAAACCGGTTTCTTTTCCTCCTGATTGTTGCAATAGTTTTGTTGGGATCGTTTTCAGTTTCACTGACATTTTACTGTTGTGTGTGTGAGAGTGTGAGTGTGAGTGAGTGAGAGTGAGTGAGTGTGAGTGAGAGTGTGAGTGAGTGAGTGTGTATGTGTGCTGAGGCGAGATTCCTACTCCCATGATATCCTTGTCAGTTTGTGTGTGTGTGTGTGTGTTTGTGGGTGAGTGGGTGGGGAAGGTGTGGGTGTGGGGATGTGGGTGGGGGTGTGGGTGGGGGGGTGGGAGTGAGGGGTGAATCACCCTCTGCGAGTTTCCCAGCAGAACGGGACACATTACCAATTAATGGGTTCTGCTTTAGATAACGAGCGGAGATCTGCCAGAAGCCGATCAGTCGCGATAAACAGTGTGTAAAGAGGAAGGTTTTGCTGCTCACTCTCTGCCTTCGTTCAACAGACACACGAGGAGAGAGAGAGAGAGGGAGAGAGAGAGGGAGAGGAGGGAAGAACTGACCGCACATCACCTGAAGTCATCGTACAACACTTTGCGAAGATTTCAACGTTGCATTTTTTTTTACACAGGACAACCCCCCTCCCCCCACCAAAAAAAAAAACCCCAACACCAGGGACGTGTTATTCGGCCAAAACTGCGGGTGGAGTCCCCCCTTTTTTTTTTGCATTTGAAATTTACATGGATACAGATTTCCTGGAGGTGAATCGATCCGTCCAATCGGCTTTCCCAAGAGAGAGAGAGTGGGGACCTACAGGAAAAAAAGCAAACAGATCAGAGATGGAATAAGATTAGGTAATTGCTACAGGAGACGCTTTTCATCAGTGCTATAGTAGTGCTACACCCTCAACCCACCCACTCCATCGCTGCGATCTCAGTAAGATTTGGCTTCTGGGGGGTGGGGTGGGGGGTGGAGGTGTGGGGGTGTGTGTGGGTGCTGCCAGGCTTTGTGGTTCTCTTTTTGTTGCTGTTGTTGTTGTTGTTCTTGTTGGCTCAGATCAGTTTATGCCAGAGCTTGTGCAGGAGCAAACAGAGAGGGTGGATTAGAGAGGAAGAGTGAGTGAGAGAGAGAGAGAGAGAGAGAGAGGCAAAGGAAAAGAAAAAAAAAATTGGTGGTGGAATAAGGCGAAAGATGCAGCCTTAGATGTGGAGCGTTTGCAAAGCTTTTTGCACTTTCCCACCCCCTCCTCAGCCGCACCAAAAAAAAAATTGCGACCCCACAAGGTTTTGTTTCCTTTTTTTTTCACACAACCCAGCAAGAAGATCAGAGTCGTCTTCCTTAAAGTCAAGGTGGGTGATAGGTATCTCTCAAGGAAGGAAGGAAGGAAGGAAGGAAGGAAGAAAGGAGGGGCAGCAGGTAGGTGATAAAAGTGATAGATGTTACATTAGAGGCATCGTTGTGTCATTATTTTTTTTTACAATGCACTTCACTCACTCGTCACCAGTAATATTGAAAGGGAACGTGTAACGTATCCACATCAGCAAATTGGAAAACATTTAAAGAAATTGCAATCACACGAAAGGCTGTTTTTTTTTCTTCTCGGATTGATGCTGTAAATGTTTCAAAAAAAAAACAGGATGGAAATTGATGTAGAATTAACTTTTCTGGTGGACACGAAAGCCAACAACGTGCAGATCATTTATGATTTGACATTTTTCTCAGACGTTTGTGGTTTTTTTCTCTCTCTCTCTCTCCTGATTTCAATCCTCAACCAGATTAATATTGTTTTTCACGCTTTATTGGGGGTATTTCTGGTTGGTTGCATTTTTTTTATTATCGGTCGTCGATCAAAGTCTTGTGTGGGTTTGATTTGTGTATATATGTGTGTGTGTGTATGCACATTGAGTGTTTCTCCTAACTGTGCGAGGTGCAGCCACTTTTTCTGGGAGAAAATATGAGCATGCAAGGTAGTGTCTCAGGCTTCGTGAGTCTTTCTGGAATATAATCATTGCAGTCGGGTGAACAGTTGGGAAGCAAATGCTTGGGAAGGTCCAGATATCTGATCTTGTACAAGGATGCTCGACTCATTCAGTATTAATAAACAGTCAAACCCCCACAGGTCCCTGTGCAGTTCCTAATGATGCACCAGAAACACACAGGGCACTTAGAAAGAGGGAGCAAAGAGCCCACCTTCTGAAATAACTCTCCCACTAGTTACTATAAAACTGCTATTTACTCATTGATTGATCCCTTTTCACCCAGCCTGGATTTCACACGTTCTTTCCACAGTCGGTCTGTCTCGTCCTTGTCTGTGTTGTGTCTCTATGCAGTGTATAGAAATTTCTTAGAAAATATGTACCAAACAGTGAAGGTGGAGGAGGTGGGGGTGAAAGGGGTGTGTGTGTATGTGTGTGTGTGTGTGTGTGTATGTGTGTGTTTGGAGGGCTGCAGCAATACAGGGGGTCAGACAGCAATGCGAAACATACAGCTACCTTATCGGCAGATCTTTTTTTTAATAGCTTGAACAAAAGAAGTGGACGTACAAATCTATTGTAAAGTTACTGTGGCCTCAGTAAAAACCATGGGAACAATTTTTAAATGGGCAAATTGGAGCCCAATTCAATCGTCATCTCTGTGGACTGCCTCGCCCAATTTTTCCCAGCCATTAGTTGGTCATTTTGTTTACTGTTACATTCCTTCTCCTTGTCAGGTCGATTCCCTCTCTCCCTTTGCCCTCTCCTGTCCGACTTATTCTTTCACAGACACCACTCACCACCAACAGACTTAGAACAGAGGAGCCTTTCGATTTCATGTAGGAAAGGCAGCTCAGAGGCAAATCATGCTCATTCATTTTCATTTCAAAGAAACACTTTACCTCTCCATTACCACTATTTAATGTTATATATATATATGTGTTATATATACATATGTATATATACAGGGTGACCAAAAAGTCGTGAAACCATTACAATATCTAATAAATCTTTAGAGAAATTATGATTTTTGGGGGGGCAACAGGGTAGTTATCACGACTATTTGGCCACCCTGTATATGTATAGAATATGTATAGATCATACATAGAAATTGCTTGACATGTTTCGAGCCAAACAGTGAGGCGACATGAACTGCAGCCAAAGCAAGGGAGTGAGATATTCGCCCAAAGTAGCCCTGATGGCTGCAGAGCTCAGTGCCTGTGGCTGGAAAATGACTATCGACTGGGAGATAATGGTTATCTATTTTCGTCTCAACAACCAGATTATTTTCGTCAATTGCTGTACTTCATTCAAGGGTTTGGGGGTTTAGCTCCACGTTTACAACCCTCCCAATATAGCGCAGTAATCTGAGTTGAATAAGAGTCAGCAAGTGTCGAAAATGAACGGGTTGCAATTCTCAAATCGAACCTAAAAAGTCAGTGGGGGGGGGGGGGGGACAAAAAAAAAATCAAATCAAATAGATGTGAAATTGGGGGCAAAATCCATCGCCAGACCTGCATTACGCTGAATTGATTCTGTTTTTTTTTGTCCTTCAGAGGAGAGCGGTTTAAAGGTATTTCAGCTCAGGGATGGTTGTGCAAACTTGTGCATTATAATTGATAGACTATCTGTTCAACACCATGTGGGAGAAAGAAAAATGGAAAGGCAAACTCTCTCTTTCTTCTAAGACAGTGATGGGAAAGAGCCAATTCATTTGACAAAATGTGGGTGGATGGTGACTGCCTTCGTTTTGTATGATTCACTGAGCGAGAGCCACTGCTGAGGTTTATTTGCTTGTTTTGTTGAGCTGCATTTTGCGTACATCAGAAGCGTTGAAACTATCTGAGTGTAAAAGGAATTCCATAAGTGACCAGGACGGAAAGCTGATGGTCTGTACAACAGAACCCGAGATGAGAAAAAAAAACTATTTCAAGTAAGAGAAGCAAAACCTGAGCCGCTGTGTTTCTATCCCAACGTTTCATATGCAGTCGTTTTGAACGTAAGTAATACACAGACAGTACCGACCTCACCTTAACATTTCCTAGACGTGAAAAACTTTTTTTCTCTTGCAAAATGCACCCATTAGCGTCTGACTGCACTGCCCCTGGGACAGTATATGTGCTTGGCCTGTGCTGTGTGCTTTTAAGAAGTGTTATTTCTGAAGCACTGGAGGATAAGGTTTGCACGAAACGAAACGATTGCGGGCGAGTTGCCAGTTTCGCTCTGTGTCTCAGACAGAAACCTCAGCACTCACTGCTCTTTTTGGTGTCACGCTGATGAATTTGAAACAGCGAGAAAGCTGTCGATCTGCGCTCGCAATCATTCGCTGCACATCTCTCGAAAGCATCGTTTGCCATACAATGGACAGACGCAGTAATACACCTGTACTTATTGTGGATCCATAGGTCCTCATCACTGGTTCCCCTGGTTGGAGCCTTCGGTGCTTGAATGAAAACTTCTCTGCACAACGTTATGGTGGATATTTTTTTCCCCCCCTCCCTCCCAGAGATTTCTCTCTCTCTCTCTCTTTGTTACTCGTACTTTAGTACAAGGGATTGAATTATAGTTTGCACTATAATAATCATGTTAAACGATATTCCCAAATCGTGGGAAGAAGATTTGGTAACAGGGCGTTATGTTGGAGGGGCAATGCACACAACAGTACTGTATGTGCTGGAGTTTATCATAAAGAACCCCCCCCCACCCCCTCACTCCCAAATCCATTCAACAAAATAGCCAAACTCGTCCTGTAACTTCCCAATTCCCTGTGTGAACAATTTGACTTCACCACTATTGCAGGGAAAGTGACATCAGTGAACACATTTTTCGTGCTCTGTGTGATCCGATTCCAACGCTGTTCTGATGCAAATGTACCGACTGTGATTTGAGTAGTTTTACATTCATAGCAACTTTTCTTTTTAAAATAAAGTTTTTGGAACTACTGGGCTGAGGGAGTATTTGTATCCTTAATGCGGTAATGTGTTACAGTGATAAAACCAGCGAGTTGTTGTGAACTAACAGATATAGTTAACACTTATCTATAGATCACCTACGTGTGCTTCTGTGGTTTATAGTATTTGTTACAGTGATTTTGGGGGCGTTGTCTCCAATATATTATCTAAAATCAATTCTAAGGGTAATTTTTAATTTTTAAGAATTTGAAATTAACCTACAGATAATCTGGTTTAATTTTGTGCATTGCAGTGTGTGCAGCAAAGCTGTGCCTGATCAAAAATACCATTGTAGTATTTTCTGATTCTAAATTCATATTCTAAAAAAAACACACTTGAAATTTCAGTTCGAGTTGGGTTGTTAGCCTATTAAAATAGTCTTGCTTTCTGATGGCCTGCAAGAAATATTGCAGTTCCATTCATTAATACTTTATTACTTCCTCCTCTGTGCTATTATATGTGCTATTCTGTTTATGCTCTTTACACTGAAATTTTCCCAGGTCAATCCGTGACAGACCTGCCCTTTTGAACCACATACACTTGAGACATTTCAGTTCCATATTGGAGGCAACTTGCACCAGTACAGGTACAATGGACCGAATGGTTTCCTTCTTGTTCTGTAAATGTTGTTCCATTAATAAATGAGGAAACAGTATCTATGCACAGCGAATATCCCAAGACTATCGTCATTGGATATTAATTTTTTTTATTCAATGTTTCAAAGCAAAATGATCTGTGTGACTTTAGTCCTGGAATTCACATTTCATGAGCTGCATTGGTAAATTACTTGGATGAAAGAGATGTTGCAGTTACATTGCATCTGAAGCTACTCACAATCAAACTGGGCAATGTTTTTCATCAGGTTCTATACATGTGAATGGTGTTTTGCAAGAGATTGGAGACTTGGATTATTGCAATACATTGGGGATC